CAGGTTTAGGGTTTAGGGTTTAGGGTCTATAGGGGTTTAGGTTTAGGGGTTTAGGGTTTAGGGTTTAGGGTTTAGGGTTTAGGGGTTTAGGGTTTAGGGGTTTAGGGTTTAGGGGGTTTAGGTTTAGGGGTTTAGGGTTGAGGGGTTTAGGGTTTAGGGTTTAGGGTTTTAGGGGTTTAGGGGTTTAGGGTTTAGGGGTTCAAGGATTTAGGTTTTAGGAATCAGGGTTTAGGGTTACTTAGGGGTATTTGGAAACACTTTTACACTTTTGCTTCTACTAATAATATGAATGTTAATAAGAAGAGAACAGCAAAACTACAATTTTTCTAGGGTTCTAAGTTCAGTAGAGGACTTCTTACTATACTAAGGAAAACCCAATTATTTACTATAGAACCTTATTCCCCAAACCTTAAACCAGTATAGGACTTCTGGAGAATGCGAAGCAAGGTTTGGATGCCGTGAAGGATGCCCAGAAGTATGAAGAACAACGCAGGGCCTTGAACAAGGCGGTGAACCAAGCAGCGTTGCAGAGGGACCAGAAACTGGGTTGCTGTTAAGGAACTGAAGGTTGAGGGTTTAGGGAACGAGGTTCTATATTAAATAACGGGGTTTCCTTATTATGGTAATTAAACTAAGTTACCACGTTAAAGTTCTATAGTATATAATGGGGTTCCTTATGTTAGTAATTAAAAGAAGTTCCTCAACAGCAACCCAGGAAAGAGCTGGAGCTTAGAGAGAGAGGTGCGGAACAGAAACAGGCCGAGCAGCATCTGGAGAATGCCGCCGAAGATCCACAGTGCCAAGCAGCGAAAGCAGAGTACTACAACAAGTCTGCGCAGCTGCGCGATGATTTCTTGACAAAGAAGAGCGTGTTTGACATGGGTTTGCAGCAGAAGCAGGACCAAAAGATCCAGAAATGCAGACCCCTGGATCAACTGCTGGATGCCTCAACCAAGCGCAAGCTGAAAGTAGCGCAGGGCAACGTGGACCGTGCTCAACGAAAAGTCGATGGCTTTCAGCATGACATCAACAACAAGCAGAAGGAGTTGGAGGAAGCAACGCGCAAGGCAGAACACTGCAACTGGTTTGAGAAGCCTTCCAGAAGCTGGGCGGTCACTTCCACATCGGCGCAACTTCAGGCGCTAGTATCTGCGAAGGAGATAGCCACAGGATACCTGCAATCGGCCAAGCACACACTACAGGGTCTTGAAGCTATAGTGGATCCCATCAAGGACGCCGCGTCTAAACCCTGAACCCCAAATCCTAAACCCTAAACCCTGAATCCTAAACCCTTAACCCTGAACCCTGAACCCTAAACCCTAAGCCCTAGACCCTGAACCCTAAACCCCGAAACCTATACTGTAGTGGATCTCATGCAGGATGCCGCTGCTTCGGCGTGTCAACTGGCCATGCAGGCCTTGACCGACTTTCAGAGCGGACCTGAATTTCAGGCCTAACTCCAAGGGTTGATACAGGAGTTCAGGGTTAAGGGTTTAGGGTTAAGGGCTTAAGGTTTAGGGCTCAAGGTCTAGAGAGGGTGTGGGGTTTAGGGCTTAGGGTTAAGGGTGTGAGGTTTAGGGTTTAGGATTTGGGATTGATGCAGGGGCTATTTTTTGTAGTGGAGGGCTCCATAGGGTATAAGGGTCCCATATGACGGTTATGTAGGATTATGATATAGTGTTATATAGGGTCTACATGGGTATATCGAGTTGTACAGCTTTGTTTTTTTAATGGGGGCTACGTAGGGTTATAGAATGGTTCTCAAAGTACAACTTCAGGCAGTACTGGCAGCTCAGCAGCAGTTGCAAAGTTTCGCGAAGACTCTCAACGAGTGGCCTGTTTCTGGGTTGCTGACTAGGGTTTTGGTCTTAGGGTTGAGGAACTTATGTTAAGTTACCATAGATAAAGGGTGTATTTATATCTTAGTTAATATGGTTCCACTAGGATAGTAACTCGAATGGCGTTCCTTAACAGCAACCCAGGTTTATCAGAAGGTGCTTGCAGCGGTTAGAGAGCAAGCTTCTGCGCGTTTGACGGGCTTGACACAACAGCTTCAAGCGCTGGGCCAGGACTCCTCAGCCCCAAACCTTAAGCCCCAAGCCCTAAATTCCAAAACCCAAAGACTAAACCCCCAAAAAGACCAAACCCTAAACCTCAAGCCCTAAACCCTAAAGGCCCTAAACCCCAAACCCAAAGCAGCTTCAAGTGTTTGGCCAGGAATTGCGCAAGCATCAGGATGAGGCCTCCATGGCAATGAAGAACTTCAAAGACTTCCTGGATGGTGAGCTAAGTAAAGCCTACGACAAAGCGCTCGAGGCTTTGCGCGGTAATCGGAACAATACATTCCACATCAAGAACCTGGGTTGCTGTTAAGGAGCTTAATTTAAGTTACTATATTGGGGAAACCATGTTATTTACTATAAATATATATATATGTATATACCCATCATGATACCCTAACTCAAGTTCCGTAACAGCACCCCCTAACCCCGATACACCCTATATACCCTATCTACCCTATCTTGACTGCAACCCAGGAACATGGAGTTCAGGACCATGCTCAAAGACTTCCTCCTCCATGGCGCGGTCAACGGCACACTTGATATGGAGATTGAAGGGAAGCAGAAAACAAAGGAGTTTTGTGTCAACCCTATATAACCCTATGTAACTCTTAGATAACCCTATGTAACCCTAGAAAATATAGCCAAATATCCCCATCAACCCCTTATGTAACCTTAGATAACCCTATATAACCCTGAATAACCCAATAGAACCCTTTATAACCTTTTTATGACACCAAATAACCCTAAGCAGAGGAGTTTCGCGTCAATCTTTGGGACCTTCCCGCCTTCGAGAAGGAGCTGGCCGGCTTTGCACATCACTTCGTCAATTCCCTGGACGGTGCTCAAGATGCTGAGGTGCCATGAAAGGCCGCCAGCCGGGGCATAGGGAAAGTGAACTGGGTTATTCATGGACTGATTCCGAACTTGGGTACCGGCCCCACTCGTTAACAGCTGGACAATGTTAAAATATAACGATATAAAGCCCTTTAATATGATGGATCGTTAATGGGTGGGGCAGGACTCAATTTGTAACCTATGAAACCATGAGAATTCATTTTCATGGGGCCTCTAAATATGGTACTTGTCCTAAATAGGGGGACTCGGATGAAGACCCCCCTTCGATAGTGCTCAGCATGTTCATGTCCCATGAAAGGCCTCCAACTGGGGCATAGGGAACCCTAAACCCTAAACCCTAAACCCTAAACCGTAAACCCTAACCCTAAGCTCTTCTGGGAGTGCCAGGCGTGGGTTGTCCATCCTGCTGCATCCCTGCTTAGCAGACTCACGGTGCCGAAAAAGGTTCTGCCTCTGCAGGGTTCAGGGTTTAGGACTTAGGGTTTCGGGTTTAGGATTTAGGGTGGGGGCCCAAGGTTTAGGGTTAGGATGTGGGGTTTGGAGTTTAGGGTTTAAGGTTCAGAATTTAGGGTTTATGGGGGGCTAATAGGATTATATAGGGCTTGTGATGGAGAATCCAATGAAGAAGAAGATGGAAGATGAAGTGGACTGGCAGGATATAGGGACTTAGCTGTACTTTGATAAAGTGGGCGCCTGTTGAAAATGCAAAACATTTTACGACTTTGTCAGGCCCTGCTGTAGCACGTTGGCCGCTGTCTTAGCACGTTGGCTGCTGTTGCACGTCGGCGTCGGTAGCTGAGCAGGCAGGCGTCCCAGTTTTTGGTGACCGTCCGTGCTACTTGTTCAGTAGTGTGCTCCCAACTTCTCCGCAGAAGGGGATGTGGGTTCAAGGTTTAGGGTTTAGGCTTTAGGGTTTAGAGGTTAGGATTCCAAGTCTAGGGTTTACGGGTTATGCTTTAGGGTTTAGGGTTCAAGGGTTAGTGTTGTTTAGGGTTTAGGGAACCGAAGCTGCGTGGCGAAACGAGGAGCCGATGATGGAGAAGACTGTAGGCTTCTCCCATACCCAGACCCCTGGCAGGATCTA